GGTGGTGCAGCGGGTTAAAGCACAGCACTAAGAAGCTAAAGCCACTTCTGCATGAGTATGATCCCCACCTGCCCCGGAGGTGACCACATGGCGCGGCAGACCTCTTAGCACTGACCCGCCCACTGCTCCCCTTAGCAGTGTACTTCGTTAATCTGCCTGTTCTGCTCCCCACTCTGTCTCTGGTGAATCCTCTCACCGTCCCTGCACCTCTGGCCTGTGACCCAGTTCTGTATACACAAATAAATAAATCTTAAAAAAAAAAAAAATCTTTTTATTCACTGATTAAGCCACAACCTCCAATTTAAAATTACATAAAGTGGCATTTTTAAAAGTAAGTTATAATTCTAATGTGTACCTTTTCATGTTCACTCTCTTCTTTATTACTACAAGTTTGTAAAATGTTCTGCAGAATACTCTCGGCTTTTTATTTTCAGGCTGGTAGAATAAATGTAGTGAATTCTTATTATCGTTAGGATTGCTATCATGATTCTTTAACAAGTGCTTTAAAAGCACTTATTTGGGGCCAACACTAAACTATGTACATTATATGTAGACATTTGTATTATCCAATTTAATTTCCTCCAACAAATTAAGACACAGAAAATGAAACTGACTTGCCCAAATTCAAATAGCTCAAAGAACTCTTTGCCTCTGTTGCCAGAGTCCATGTTCTTCATGTTCTCCTTTATGCTAATCGACTAGAAGAACTGATGAGAAGATACAAGTGGGAAAAATACTACTACAATGTAAACAAAAAGATAAATGACCATTATGTTAAACTAAGCCTATCATTTGTCAAATCATTTATTCTGGAAACACAAGTTCACTCCAAATATTTCAGGAGCTCTGATGGCAAAATTGTTCCACACATGTAAAAATGTCAAGTATGCAGGGGAAATGATAGGATCAGAAATGGAAGCATTATTAATTACCCAATCAACTTTCTACTCTAAATGGAAATAGCCCTTCATAAATCCCCGTTATGAGTTTAAGAGTAAACATTCAAGCCATTTTTGTTCAGCACATCAGACTCTCTGTTTGAATAAATAAAACTGGAGGCCACAGTGCTGAAGCAAAGAACTTATTTTAATCTGTCCATATTTATACATTACTGACCATAAGGACATATTCCTGAACCCCATTCTGACTTCAGTCTAAAAATTACATAGGACTGTATCCCAGAAGAGTGTATTTCAACCATTTACTCACTGAGGATTTGCTGAATACCTGCTGTGTTCCAAGATCTCTCTGGGCACATGGGATATATCAGAGAAAAAGTCCACAGAACTTGCACTCTTCACAATGACTCAATGATGCATATAAAACCAAGAAAACTGTAAACAGTTTTCTCAATGGTAAACAGTAACTTCTCTGACCTTGAGAACAAATAAGAAAATCTAGTCAACACAATAGTTACCTGGGTCCTTTTTAGTGACTTTAAATATGTTACAAATGAAATTTTAAAAGTTCTGTTTGAATCCAGTTCATGAAGGAATGCCCATTAAACAGGTCTGTGTGAACTTTCAAAGATGACTTATCTTCTAGACTGCTACATTCACCTTTGCAACTTTTGTTGAAAATGATTTTAAATAAAAGGAAGGGGCCCATACTAAGGGGCTAATGAGAACTGGAAAACTAAGAATCACAAGAAGAGAGAAACCAAAATACAATGTCTCTGTGCATTGACACTACAGTTCATGGAAAATACAGTTTAGCATCACATGAATAAACCATTGTGGGTTTCATGGCATTCCTACATGAAGAGTTCAATACAAAATACTTTATTCCAAAAACAAAGAATATTGTGTTTGTTTTCAAGGTGCCACTGAGCTTGAAAGCATGAAGCTAACATTTGCCTGTGGTATCCAACATGCAGGTGTAAGAAGAGCAAACATTCCTCAGGTTTTTAAAAATAGTATAACTTAGAAGGCAAGTCCTAAAATACCAAAAGCCATAGATCAATAGACTCTATTTAAATAGAATTTCCTCAGTGCTAAAACAGCTTCAAACTACCATTGTGTAAAATCATATTAAATGTTTCCAGAGATCCTCATTTGATTTTCCCTTCTGCCAAATGCTTTCCTTTGACAAAAATCCCATAAAAACTATAAGAAAAACAAATGCTTATTTTGCCAAAAAAATAATTCTTACTACATTGACTTAGAAAAAACAGTATGTTTGTCATATTATTGTAACAATCTTGGGAAGAAGGTCAGGTATTAGGCATTATCTTTTTACAGTTGTCCATGCTGCTCACTGAACAGGAAGTCCAGTCAAGCAGGCCAGTGGAAACCAGACAACGTCCACCCAGAAGGAGCACCTTCTTCTAACTTGCATATCTGGCCCTATTCACTGTCCACTGGCCCTGTTTACTGTGAGTTCATGGAATGGATCACCTAGAGGTTGCCTCTTTCTAATCTGGACAAGAGCAGAGTATAAGCTAGTAATATCTATCTCATAAGGATACCAACAAATGAAAGCATGATCATTGGGCTCCAGGTCTACTGACTTCTAGTTCATGGCTTTAAATAACATAAGGTGAAAAATCTCACAGCAGATGGATTTATTGACAGCTTAGAAAGTCACAAAGCGCCTCCCTCGGATTCTGATGGACTGATTTGCAGTGTTATCCATGGTATTAACACTGTCCCATCACTCGATCTCTAGTCTGCAAATGTTCTCGTCCCTTTCCCCCACCCCTACCTTCCAAATTACTTTACTAAGTAATTTATAGGAATTATTCCAGATCCTACCTGACTCAGCTGCATAGGTGACCTCAGCTAAAACACACACACACACACAAAAACCCAGCTGTATCCAGGCACCCCACAGAATCTCAAGAATTAAAAGTTTATCATTAGTTTATGCCACTTAATAACTTCAGCACAAGGGTAATATGTTATATAGCAAAGCATAATTCAATCATTATTTTCTCAGACTACCATACATAAGAGGCAATGAATTTCCTAAGAGAACAAAATGAAATTGGGATTGGGAAAAGAGAAAAGCAAAGCTATTTCAATCATCATTCATCAAAATTTTACTGAGCACTTAGAAGGTGCTTAGCATTATACTAACCACTGGAAATCGCTTAAAAAAAAATTCCATTTGCTCAATTTTCACCTGACAATCTGTTAATCTGTTGTAGGCAATGTAAGAAGGGTATGGACTTTGGATTCAGATGTGTTGAAATCTGGGCTCTCCTATCTACAAAATGTGGAAACTTAGGAAATCTGTTTAAACTTCTCTGAAACTCAGTTTCTTCAGACCATGAAATGGAAGTCAATCTTAACTAATCCCTGAGGTTGCTGGGAAGAGTAAACAGTCAGTGACACAAAGCACTTCCTCCCCACTCCCTCTGGCATAGGAAACTCTGCTTCAACCCTTATTTCACAAATACCACTTCAAAATCCTGGCCAAAAGTAAATCTACATCAGATCCACAATTTAGTCTTTCACTCATCATTCATCAGAATTTTAGTGAGCATTTAGTGGGTGCTGTTGGGAGTGACCGAGTGTGGAGATTTACTGAAGGGACTGGTTAAGGGCAGTAATAAATTAGACCTTGCATCCAAGAGTGATAAGGCGGTAATAAACTGGGCCTTGCATCCGGGATGGGACTAGAAGAAGGTGATAACGAACTGGGACTTACATCAAGGGACACAGTGATGAGTCACCCCTTTGGAATCTGAGCTTAGAATCTATATAAGAGACCCTTCCCTCCTACAGGGCCACAGTAGCTGCGGACCCCACTCTAGGGGCTCTGTCTCAGCTGCTGCCCGCTGCACGGGAGCAATAAATTCTGCTTGCTCAGACTTTCTGCCCCAAATGCCCCCCTCTTTCTTTCTTGTGGCCGGTCACAGAAACCGTGACAAAACAGGTGCTAGGCATCATACTAAATACTGGAAATCAATAAAAAAATATATCAACAAGCAGACATTGCACACACACAGAGGCCTTCATAACAAGTTAACCAATATCCTCCAGCCTCCTTTGTGACCTGCGCCCCAACTGCATCACCTCCACTATTGGCAATTAGGTCTTAATCACCTAAAAAAGTACCTTCTGCCCCAGCATCTTCCTTTAGTTTCCAGGTTGTGTATGTAGAGCTGCTGCCCAAGGCAAATTACAACTCGGGTCAATCTTGCTTAAGAAAGGTGAAAACTGATGGGAAACCTATGGCTAAGCCTGACACTGTCACCCAGTGTGACACCCATTGTCACCCCATGAACTAAGGGCAGAGTCAGACCCGAGTCCATGGGGGTCCCACCTCCCAGGCCTGCATGCTTTCTGTTTTTCAAAGACATTTCCTGTTCTCCTATCACTCTGAGCCGCGGTGCCAGAAGGAGCAAGGAGCGCTTGAGATAGAGGGTCACCAACACTGAGTTGGAGGACAAACAACAGCACTAGGAACTTTTAAACACTGTGACCAGCACCGGAGTTTTTTCATGAATTACCTCTCACTGGAGTCCTCACAGCCCTGAGTGGTACTATTATTTCCCGCCTTTTACAGATTACAAAACTAGGGCCAGAGAGGGCAAGCCGTGTGCCCCACAGCTGCTTCATCAAACAGAAAGTGGTGCCGAGGGGGTACAATGCTGAGTCAACAGTATGACTGCTTCCACGGACCCCACTAGCTTTTAAGGGGTTCATGTAGTACTCGAAGGGCCGACAAGTCATCAGCAACCTCCTCGTGGGTTCTCTGAGGCCCCTCGCCATCCTCAGCCTTCCCCTTCAGCAGCGGCAGTATGTGAACGTGACGTCGCGCACGGAGCCTCTAGCTCCTCCTAGACAGCGAACCTTCGAGGAAATCCATCCCCACGGTCGCCCCGCACATCCCCTCAAGGGTGAGAGAAGACACGGGCCGCACTTCCGCGTGGAGAGCTGGCAGGGGGGCAGGGGGTCGCGCGGCAGGCGGCCTGCGCCCCGAGCCCAGATGGCTGGGTCTCTGAGGGGGCGCGGAAGAACGCGAGCCCGGACGGGCCAAAGTGGGGCAGGTACCTTCCGGAGGAAGCTGGCGACCACCTGCTCGAAGGGGTACTTGTACACCTGGCGCACCTCCACCGTGACCCCCATTCCCGCGAGCCGCGGCCCCTGCGCGCCGACCACGCCTCCGCCAGCGCGGGCCGCAGGCTCCCACACCCGGGCCGCCCCAGGGGCGTGGGCTTTTTTTTTTTCTCCTTTTTCAAACTTCCGAAACTTTATTGTCCGCTCGGAGAACAGACAGTCGCTCACGCCCCCGCCCCTGCCACCGCCGGTCTGTGAGGGAAGAGGCGGCGCCGCCGGGGCGCGCCCAGGGGCCCCAGCGCGAAGCGGCGCGCGCGGAGCTGGCGGGCCCAGAGGGGTCTTTGTCTGAGAGGTCCCAAGGTGGCCTGGCCCCTCTCGGGACACGCCTGGAGGCCGGACACCATCACGGCACGCCCTGGAGCCTTGGACTTTGGGACTTGGGCTTCTGTCATTCCCTCGTCTGGAGCCGCAGAGTAAGCCGAGCCCAAAGGCGCTGTTGGGCAACCTAAAAACAGTAAGAATATAGTACTAAAAGCACGCCCCCTAAGTTCAGGAGTTGTGAGAGAAACCTCCTCCCGTGGCCGAGTCTGCTGTGGCGGAAGCTTGCAAAGGCATCATCTTCACGCTCTGCTTGGCAGCCTCGGAGGCCAGAGGCTGGGTCTCAGGTGAAAGTTGAGTGACTTGCCCGGGTATATGCAACAGATAAAGAATGCAGCTTAAGGCGCAACTAGTTAAAGGTTAAACACCAGGGAACAAGAGAACAGGTCCAAAAAGAAATTGAGTTTCCTTTATGGACCGTACAGACGTCAAGGAAACCAATGGGTGGAACCATTTTTTCAGTGTTATTCGACACATTACTTACTGAACACCTACTGTGTGCTAAGCACAGGGAAGACACTGGATTCACTAGTGAATTAAGCAGTGTCCCCGCTGACCTGTGAGACAGGTGAGCGACAGCCAATAAACAGTACAAGAAAATACACAGGATAATGGGTTAAGTTACAGGAGGTAGGGCCTGGTTTTAGCTAGGATGAGTAAGGGTGGACTCGTGCATGGTGACTTCTACATTTATAATTTTATAATCTCACCTGCCCCACTTTTGCCTAATCATACTGCTCTGGCAAAACAGGATTTGTATATGTCTGATTCACCACTTACCAACCACCTTACCCAAGCTGCTCAAAGAAACTGGAGGAAAAATATATATTCATTGTTAACAGTCTTTTTTTAATAATTCATTAACCATTCACCTCAATGGAACCCTTTAATGTGTAAGACACAAACACATTTCTCTGATCTACTTATTTTGCCATATCCCTCTGTCCCCTCACACATCTAGTACCTCCCTGCCCAGCCTTAGTCCTAAGTGATTACTTTGCTACTTTTTTCAATTAGTAAAAAAGAAATGTCTGTCTTTCTATCAGCCCACCTGTCCAAATGCACTTCCTTCTCTCCTGTTCTCATGAGTGACCTGTCAACACTTAGTTTAAAGCCAGTCTCTCCACTTGAACACGCAGCAACAGCCTGGTAAATGGTCTTCACATCTTTCCTTTAAAACCAAAGCCCTTTTTTATAATGATTGTGATTTCTGTAATGGAAACACTCCTACTTTTCAAAGTACCAATTTCAAACTATCAATGCAATTGTCACTAAATGTGAAATTAAGGACCAAAAAAAAGGCAAAAGTACACCTGTTGTGTGATATTTCTACTATTCACATACAATAAACAAGTGATTAAAAGAACATAGATAATGGTATATGTTAATGTAAAAGGGATGTGTTTTGAATACTTCCATATATATATATATATATATATAT